GTATCTGCCATCCAGGTAGGATCTCTGAATTGTTCCAGGACGTCCTTGACTGTCACCGTGGATGGGAAGGACCAATGACCCCAGTGCCTCTGGTCCCCACTTCTATCCCCAGTCGGTTCATGGGCATCTAAGCAATGTTTGCTGGCCTGATTCATGTCTCTAAATTTACCCATTCCTTTGGAGTTACGCAGCCTTCTTTGGAGGGAAATCCCTTGTTTTTCGTCCAAGAGATCAGGCCTGGCTAATGTGAGACACAAGCCGGAACATAACCAAAGTGCTGGGAGGCCCTTTGTTCATTTTCCTTCTACTCGGCCCTTCCATGCAGGCAGCCATCCTCCCATCCAGCCCAGAAACCTTCACCACCACCCCCAGAGCTCCTCTTAAAAAGCACCCCAGATTTGTGCAATTGGACATCACAATGGAGATGTCTACTGTGTCCCAACCCACCACTGAGGCATGCGTGTTTCATGTAATCACTTCCTGAGCAGCCGAGGAAGATTTGAAGGAGGAAACACAGACACCTCCATTCTGAGGTCATTCATGCAGGATGTTGCATTTCCTGTGGTTTGGCTGGTGGCCCATAAAGATCCGGTTTGAGGGAGGCATTTCAGATCCCATTTTGAAATATCCCCTATCTAACTAACATGCTTAGGTCTCTGGTTCCTGAGCTGCCATCTCCCTTCAGTGGCTGGGGACCAGGGGGGCCCACTCTTTGAGGGGCCTGGTGGGATGGCCCTGCTAAGCATTTGATGAGCTGGGGGTGGCTGTGGGGCCCAGCAGGCGAGCCCAATCGGCTTTATCTACTCTCTGATCAATGAGTAAGATGGCAGAGGCCACAGCCAGATGGACCCCACTGAGTCAACCTCCCTTTAATTGCCAGGACTTGCCACACTCACAGGAAGACACACCTGAAATTGAATATGCAAATAGAAGCTTTCCAAAGGGAAAGACCTAATAAATCATATTCTTGTAGGTTGAAGTTCTTTTGCTGTTTTTTAAAAGCAGGGTGATTTTTTTTTTCCTTTTCATTTACAGAAGCTGTGTGGAAGTGGGGACCTGAACTCTTCTATGACATCCCAACATTTTGAAGACCAATCTGTGAGTGACATTCCTTTAAAACAAAGACACACCAAAGCCCACATTATAAATAGCTCTCATCAAATGTTCTGATCTGTATTTCTTTGCCTCATTTATTTCTAAAGAATGCTCAACTGGACCCACCTACACAGACAGGCCTTGCAAATTGTCGCTGGAAAAGATTCATTCAGTGTCTATTGATTTGTCCACCCGGGATAGATTCTTCTAAAAATACAGAGCAGCAATGATATCGAGTGAGATAGTGCAGGAGACAAAGCCATTCTGAAGTGCTTTGAAACATGGGTGGGGACACTTGCAAAAGAAGGCTGTCAGAGGTGACTTAGCCATAGGATCAATTGACTGAATGTCAAAGAGGTGACCAATAAATTATTTTCATCTTTCCTTTCTCTTTGGAAAGACAGACAATTGAAACTCTAGTTCAGGACATTAACTGGAGTCATTTAATACATATTCAAAAATAGACTTGAATTGGACATTATGGCCCGTGGGAGTTGATGTGTTCCTGGAGAGGGGAGTGAACTGTGTTGGGGGGAGGTGAGACTGTGATGGTAAGTGTAGGAGACACTATACTGGGGCCCAGGGAATGAGAGAAAACTACGGTATGTGAAAGATAGGAGAGCATTGGGCAGAGAAAGTGTGTCCCATGTGGACAGAGGAGGGAGGACCACATGTCCGAGGGACGTGTGGGCATGGTAAGCTATGAGCTGAGTGCTTCTGTACTGACATGATTTTATTACACGTGGAGGCGGTGTGCCAGAGTTGATTGGGGTTAGTGAGAAGTAGGGAGAAGAAGAGGGAGACATTTGACCTCTGAGCCGGGCAGTGTGGACTCATGTTGGTGGGAGCGGGCCCTACAGCTGCCCTTCTGTCTGCTCTTTCTTCTCTCTGCGCTCCATCGTGAGTGACTGAATAAAGCGTCCTGCCTTTGGTGGATGATCTCAAGGGTGTTTCCGATGTTGGTATACCACGTATATAATTCTTGGAAAGTTCATATTGCAAAGATGTCACAATTGCCTTTGACATCTGGTAGACCCCTGACACACACACACACACACACACACACACACACACACACACACACACACACACACACACACACACACACACACACACACGGGGGAGAAATATAAAGAACATATTAACCAAGCAGTGGAACCAAGTCATCAGAGTGAGTGGGAGGTGACCCTTGAAGATTACCCGGTGGAGTAACCATGATTTTTTTCCCCTTAAATTTAGAAGTGTTTCTAAACTCTCCAGCTAACTTATTTCTCTGTCTGTGCAGACTCTCGGGGAAGCCGCTGATGGCTTGGGCAACCTCCCCAGCCCTTTCGCCTACCTGCTCACCATCCACCTGAAGGAAGGCCGGAACCTGGTCATCCGAGATCGCTGTGGTAAGGCTGGGCTCTGCTACACTGTATCCTGGAAACCTCTCTGCCCTGGTAACAATGTTGTAACAATGTTGCCATTGCAGCCTCAGCGGTGGTTTGCACAGACAGGACCTCAAATCTATGCCTCCTCAGGAATCAAGTCATTTGCAGCAAATTATTTAAACATACTGAAGCTTACTGTCCTTTACTGTTGTTAAATGAATATTATAATAATAATGGTGATAATCATCATCACATAAGGTTGTTTACCATGAACTAAAATCACTAGAATAACTTTATGCCCGGCATCTAGCAACTGCTTAAGAAAATGGCCCCTTCATCCTACTCGAATTACCCGTGAGAAAGATGTGAAGGCATTCTTAGTGTAAAGTCATCAAACATACACATAGATGGAAATGCCCTTTGGATTCCCTCTTTTACCTGTATGTGAATTGATTTATTCACTTTTTCCACATGTTTCTATGGATTTACATGCATACACATTTTTAAACATGAAAATGATGCTATAATGTTCACATTATTCTGCAATAAGCTCCCCCCCCCATTTCACGATATGTGTTCAAGATGGACCATAAGTTTCGATATAAACTTATCTTCTTTCTATTACACACTACATAATATTCCATAGCACAATGTGTTATTTATCTGTTTCTCTACCGATGAAAGCTTTTTTTCCTACTTTCTTGGCAGTATAAATGATGCTGTCATGACCATCCTGTGTATGACTCCATGCACAGATAAGATTATATCTTAGATCAAAAATAGCATGTTTTTAAGAGCAGGCAGTGGAGCCAGATGGCCTGGGCTCAAGTCTTGCCTTGTCCCTTCAGTGCTGTGTGACTTAAAAACTGTTCCTTGACTTCTTTGTGACTTAGGGTCTTCATCCACGAAACAAGGATAGCAATATTGACCTACCGTATAGGCTATTAGGAGTATTGAAAGTAGTCACTTATATAAAAAGAATAAAAGAAATGCCTGACTTCTAGCACTTCATGAAAGTTAGCTGCTAGCCAGGACAAAACCTAGAAATGCAAGTATAGGGTCCAGGGGATGCACATTTTTAGATTTTAGAGGTCCTGGCAAATTTCCCTCTCAAATAGACAGCATGCCCTGTCCTACAGTGTGTGAATGTGTTCCCCACCTTGTTACCACTGAATATTTACTTGTATCGCTCTTCTTAGCTTTCGACACTCTCCTGGGTCAGGCATCGACTCCCTTTCTTGTAGTTTGTACTTCGTGGATTATTATGGTGAACATGATCACTTGTATCCCCTCTTCTGTGAAATTCTCTCCCTATCCCTTGCCCCATTTTCAACTGCATTTTTCCTTCTAAACGTTTATAATTCTTTACCATTTTCAACATTAACATTAGTTTTACGTTGCAAATATTTTTCTCCCAGTCTGTTGTTTACCCCTCACTTTTATGGCCTCTTTAGTCCTTCAGAGGTTTAACATTTCATGATCAGCAAATATATCTGTTTTTCCTTTGTGATCTCTTTTCATTTATTTTGTTAAGTAGTAGGTGGGACGTTTTTATTCTAAAGAATTTTGTGTCTTTCCGCAGGTCTTGGCCACTTTCTCCTGTTGCTTCTTCTCTGCTCTGTTTTGGAACCCCAGTTAGATGAAGGAAGGGCTTCCTAGACCCGTTCCTCTGTCTTCTGACTCCTGGCTTTCCTTTTTCATTATTCCCATCACTGTTTCCTTTCATGAAAAATTCCTCAGCTCGCACTTCCAGCTTACTCATTTTCTTGTCAGTTATCATTGTGCTATTCTGCTCATCTCTTGAATTGTCATTTCTTTCCATGTTTATAACAGTCTACTTATGTTTCATGAATGAGAAGCTGCCACCTCAGTTTTTGAGAGCGTTAAGTATACACTAAGCCCTCACTTAATGTCACCTATAGGTTCTGCAACATTAAGTGACATGATATATGATGAAACCAATTTTCCCATAGGCTCATTGATAGAAACAAGAGTTGAGTTTCTAACTGCATCTTATCAAGGTTATAATGAAACAATGTTGAAATGAAACCATATTGAAAGGAACACTGTTAAACAAGACAGTGTAGAAGGAAACAAAGTTATTATTCCAGGACCTGCTGTGCATTTAAAATCTCCTGCTTAGAGCTTTAGTCCTTGGATATCAGTTTGTTGTGTCTGCTGCTCATGTTTTCATTTGTGTGTTTCTGTTCTGCCATCCAAAGGTGCTATTTGTGTCCTGCCTTTGCTGAGAATGAGGAAGGTTGGGACACACAGCTGGACAGGGCGAGCCAGTCGTTCAGGCTGCCCTCTCCCCATTCCTCCAGCTCCTGGCTGTCCCCTCTCTGGCTGCCTGCCCACCCTCACGGTGTCTGCTGGCAGTCAAGTGCCTCTGCTGGCCATTGCCTGGCAGCAAGGGGAGAGGACAGTGCTGGCCCCTCCAGCTCCTCTATGTACGTCACTCCAACCAGTCACCCTGACGGTTGCTCAGGCCGCTTTCTGCATCCCATGTCCGCTGCCTCCAAGCTTTGAACATCTCTGGTCCACCTGTCACAGACCCTCCCAGCCTCCTACCCGACCTCTGCCTCTAGAAACTGTTTTTGCTGACTCTCTACAGCGCATGGATTCTCCCATCAATCTGATCTCATCAACTTCCACCTTTTAGGGCTGTATAAAATATGCCCACTTTTTTTTTTTTTAGAAAGACAAAATTCCTTTCTCTCTCTCTCTCTCTCTCTGTGTTTTATTTATTTTTTTGGGGGGGGTATTTTTCTCAAGATTTTTAAATAGTGAAAAAATTTAGTTTTCTAATTGTTGGTAAATAGTGTTTTCTATCAACATCATAATTTCTTACTAACAATTGTGCAACTTCTTGTGTTCTATCACTGCACACTAATGCATGCTTTTAATAGATACCTCTCTCGTGCTAGTCTGGGCAATTTGAGGCAGATTGCATTTTGTATGTGACACGACATGTAAGGGACACGATCATACACCAGCGTAAAATTACCTCCCACGAGCAACCTAAGTCTTGCTCTGAACCTGCAGTGTCTCATGGTACTTCCATTACATAATGGTCATTCTCGGGCTTGTTTTGTGACAACTTATCTGGAGATTAGAGGTGCGATCCGCAGAGAGTGCACTGAACTTTACTAGGAAAAGAAAATGCTCCAAACCTTTGGAAAACATGCCCTGTTTTAAATTTTTGGAATCTCTCCAGTAGTATATAACTTTGGGGAGGGACACAGGCCCAGGATCTCTTTCTTGTAGGACCAGCCACCCCTTTTTCAGTGTCCCCCATATTTTCTGGGTTTTCCCAGTTATGAATGTGAATTTTCCGGCCACGCCACCCTTGATATATCACACTGATACATGTATAGCAGATGCCTAGTAGGTGGTCAGCCGCCTTAGTAGATGGTAAGAAGCCAGTGCACACATCAGAAAGTTACGGGGATAATGGGGTTTCCGTGCATGGCTCCATGTCTCTCTGTTCTGGGGCCAAGGGAGAGATCAGAGCCTGTGCTCTAATCGTAGCCATTGTTATCTCCATCTGCATAGCCTCATCAGAGTTAAAGCACATGACAGTTTGGCTGTATCCTGTGTAAATCTAGCATAATCCATGTATAAATACCTAACAAGGAGTTTAGCTCATCAACTGCGCTGCCCCAGCCCCTATTCCTTTTAGAACCAGCAGTGTTTGCTCCTGTTGGTTTTATTTATTTATTGCAAATGTTCAGCATTATCTATGAAGAAACTATCCCTCTCCCAGCCAGTTATTTTTCTATACTTTGGGATGCGGCATGCCTTCCTGGACTGTGACTATGTGCGTTGCTGCTTGATTTTCACAAGTATTAAGTTAGTGACCAGGGTCTGTTCCAGTCCCACTGTTGACACGGGCAGGGGTCGTAATTATAGGCACGTATTGCTCCCACCCCTGCCGCCTTGGCCAGGGACCGACATGACTTATCAATACAGCAGTATGTTCCTTGGAACCCAACCCAACCTCTGCATTGTATGCGACACAGAGCTTTGGACCAGCAGCTCCCAAACTGGCATGAGCATCAGAGGGCCCTGGAGGGCTTATGAACATGCACACCACCCAGGCCCAGAGCCTCTGATTCGGTAGGTCTAGGGCGGAGCCTCAGAATTTGCATGTCTAACCAGTTCCCCCGTGGTGCTGATGTGACTTTGGGTTGCTATAGTGATCTAATAACAAGCGTTTCCCGAATGCTGTGAAATGTCCAGGCGTTGCCTTGAGCTCAACTTCTTGTTGGATCCCTGGGAGAAAGACACTGGGTTGTCAGAAAAGTCATGACGTATTTTTTTCTGTTTTTCGTTGCAAAAATGTGTCATGACTATTCCGACAACCCAATAGTAGCCCTCCCTGCTTCTTCGTTCTCTGCCCCAGGTACTGCCTGTGGCCCATCTGTGGGTCTCTGTCACAAAGGTCCCCTTCCCTGTCATCTTATTGTCCTTTGCGCTGTCCTTCTCCTCCCCTTTTCCTAATCCTAACTTCTTCCTTTTACTCCTCTGTATTCCCCCATTTCCTTCCTTCCTTTTTTTTATAATTTAATTTTTTTTTATAAGAGAACAAATCCATTTTATTTACTTTTCAGTAAATTTAAATCCTTGAGGGGTACAGCAGCACACGGATTCTGTGTCCTATGGCCTTGGCAGGAAGGTTGCTTCGGAATTTGGCACGAACCATGCCACTGTTTCCATGAGCACGCGTTACCTTTCCCCAGATTACTCTGGTTTTGTTCGGTTTGCCACCAGGAGTCACTGTGTTGTTCTTTGCCTTGTACACATAAGCACATCTCTTGCCTAGATAGAACTCAGTTTCATCTCGAGCATAAACACCTTCAATTTTAAGAAGAGCTGTGTGCTCTCGCTGGTTCCGGAGACCCCGCTTATAGCCAGCAAAAATGGCTTTGGACCACAGCCTTCTAGACATATTTGTCGTTTTGGAAGTCCTGTTCCCAGCAGACCTCCATAGGCCCCAAGATGGCAGAAAAAGGTTTTTA